AGGAATGGCACTCAGAGGTAGTTTAAGCACCAAGCACGTTCCTTGGCCAGGAGGCAGCAGAAGCCACGTCTCCTGCTCCCCACAGTCACCCCCTTTTCCTGTAAACTTAGAAATTCTTGTCTCAGAGCTGGGCTTCCCTTCCACATTCAGTTTTGTCCTTGTTCTTGGGAGCCTTTTCTGTGGTCAGAGAAGCAGGCCCACCCCTTCTCCTTCATTTATTCTGTCCCCTGAGCACCTACTGCTCAGTCATAACCCCCGTGTTATGGCTCATGCCACAGAGCATTTTCTTTTAAGAGAGGGAGGAGAGAGGGGCAGAAGGAGAGAGAGAAACTTAAGTAGACTCTACTCCCAGTGCAGAGCCCAATGTTGGGCTCAGTCTCTCATAACCCTGAGATCATGACCTGAGCGGAAACCAAGAGCCAGATGCTTAACTGACTAAGCCCCCCATGAGTCTCCTATAAAGCATATTCCTTGGTTTCTACCTTACTGATTTGTGGCCTGTGGGACAAGTCCAGCATGTTCAATTAAAAAAAAAAAATTGTAGGGGCACCTGGGTGGCTCAGTGGGTTAAAGCCTCTGCCTTCAGCTCAGGTCGCTGGGATCCAGCCCCTCATCGGGCTTTCTGCTCCGCGGGAAGCCTGCTTCCTCCTCTCTCTCTCTGCCTGCCTCTCTGCCTGCTTGTGATCTCTGTCTGTCAAATAAATAAGTAAAATCTTTAAAAAAAAAATTGTAAAGATTTTATTTATTTATTTAGAGAGTGCATGAGAGCAGGGGGAGGGGAAGAGGGAGAAAAAGAAAGATAATCTGGGGTAGACTCAGCATGTAGTGCAGAATCTGACATGGGGCTCTATCCCAGGACCCTGAGATCATGACCTGAGCTGAAATCAAATCGGCCGCTCAACCAACTCAGTCACCCAGGCTCCCCTTTTTTGCTCAATATTTTTAAAATATTTGCATTCATTGCCAACGTTTAGGAAATTAGGATATTTCACATGAAATGTATATTTTCAGCTTCTCAAAAGACTGGAAAATTTGGTCTTTTTGGGCTCACAATACCACCTGGCAATAGTTGGCTGATGTCACTCGTTTTTGCTGGGGCCTCCTGTTTGCCATAGGCCCATCTGATGCTTCCCTCTGAGCTTTGCTTGCCTGGCGTGTGGGCATCTGAGGGCTTCCCCAGCTTCATGTCATGGTCTTTCATGGTCACTGGTGGTGGGAAGCTCAGGGAACCAGTTTCGTTCCAGCCATCCTGACTTGGAAGGAATTTTTGTACGTCACTGCCTTCCCTCCTCCTTCTCCTCCCCAGGGCTGCCTTTATTGGGTGGATATTGTCTCATATGCAGCTTTTGTAACCCTGAGCCCTCTGGCTAAGTCCCAGGGGCGCCCTCTGTAGGCTGGTTCCGAATGAGCCCCCAAACTTCACAGGGTTTTTCACGTTAACCGCACCTCGGAATGACTCTCAGGTGACTTGTAGCTTCCCTGAGAGGACAGCAAAGCAGGGGCATCTACAAGCATGACAAGCCCAGGAAGTTTCTCTGCTTTGCAGTACCCCTTGACCCCCCCCAAACCCCCTACAGTGCATTAGATCGCTCCTGATGAGCAGGGTACCAGTCTGAGAAAGGGACACTGCTAGTGTGGAGAAGGGGAACATCCTCAATGCTGAGACGATTTCGCTCCCTGACTGAGACTGGAAAGTGAGGGCAGGCAGGTGGTCAGGAATCCCTCCCTGCTCGCATAATCCCCTCACCTTCCTTCTCCCATTGTGTTGACAGATGCTGCAGCCCCAGTTCAAGTCACACAACACCAATGAGGTGCTGGAGAAGCTGTTCCAGATAGTACCAGGCGAGAACCCATACCGTTTCCGGGACCCCCACCAGTGCCGGCGCTGCGCTGTCGTGGGGAACTCGGGTAACCTGCGGGGCTCTGGCTATGGTCCAGATGTGGATGGGCACAACTTCATCATGAGGTGAGCCCCGGGGCACCCAAGGGTGGGCCCAGAACCGGCCTCCAGAAGGAGGGACTGGCTTCCTTAGCCTTGTCTGCAGTGGAGGAGTCACCCGCTGCTGTGAGTCTCGGATGCCAGGTCTCTCTCTTGTTCGTTGGGTAGATGGGGAGGCAGAATCCCCATCGTATACTTTGCTCGAGACCAGCACTCAGTTTCTAGCTCTGAACTCCTCCTGAAAGAGCTGAGAGTAGAGTCCTGGCTGTTGTCTGGTGAAAACTCCCACCAGAGTTCTAGCCCGATCCCCTCAGTGCTGGGCCAAAAGTGATGGCCTACGCTAGAGTCTTGATTAATAGCCACAGATGATTCCTTCTGGCAGACTCATGGAAGACAGAGGTCCTGGGCAGGAAGAGGAACTGCTCAGTGCTTGCTCTGGGCTGCTGTCCCTCACCTTTATTTCATAAGGTTTAGATTATTTAACGGACATCTGTGCCCAGCATTGAGGAAAGGAGAGGGATTGGGAGGGCGATCATTTCAAAGACACAGAGCTATGAGTCTGGAGGTGAACAGGGACTAGATGGTGGACTTGTTTTTTGTTTTGTTTTGTTTTATTTTGTTTTTAAAGATTTTTTAAATTTATTTCACACACACAGAGAGATCACAAGCAGAGAGGCAAGCAGAGAGAGAGAGGAGGAAGCAGGCACCCTGCTGAGCAGAGAGCCCGATGCAGGGCTCCATCCCAGGACCCTGAGATCATGACCTGAGCCAAAGGCAGAGGCTTCAACCCACTGAGCCACCCAGGCGCCCCTGTTTTGTTTTAAATAGGCTCCACGCCTAGTGTGGAGCCCAACACGGGGCTTGAACTCATGACCCTGAGGTTAAGACTTGAGCTGAGATCAAGAGTCGAACACTTAACTGACTGAACCACCCAGGTGCCCCTAGATGGTGGACTTGTAACTTGAACATGGGCTGCTCATTCTGCTCCTGAACTTGTGTTTTCTGACTTCCTCCCTGACTTGGGGACAGGAAGTGCCACAGTGGGGGTCTTTCCATCCCACTCCTTGGTGGAAGAAGCACCTTAAGAGTGAAGATGCTGAAAACACCCAGTTTTCACAAAGCATCTCTTAGGATGAGCTGTTGCAGAAAGACCAGGTTCCCAGGAGGCAGAAGGAAGGGCTTTGTCTTAGAAACTGTTGCCGTTACCATAGCAACACCAAGGCAGCAGTATGTCTCTGAGGCTTTCACCGTTGCTTGCGAAACCTTTCTCATGTTGAGAATGGTCGGGGTGGGGGAGAGGAGGGATGCTAGGCCTCATCCAGGAGCCCAGAGGCACCTGAAATTCTCTCCATCCTCCAGCTGCTGGCGCTCCCAACGTGAAGGAGGCAAGCTGGTTGCTGGAGAGGGGGTTCTCTGCACCCAGACATAGCGAGTGGGGAATGAGACAACCACACTCCCCTGCAGCCTTGTGACCCTTGGAAAGCCCAGGGAAATGCTGTTGAGTGCCTGAAACGCCTGCTGCCCCTGCCCTCCCGCCTGTACCAAGTGGGTGCTTTCACTGTGCTTGTTGGTGATGGCTGGGAGGCTCCTGGGTCCATGGAAGCCGCCAGAAAGTCTTGGCTCCTATGACACCTGGCTGGTACCCGATCAGGCCAGGCTGCCAAGAGGAATTTACAGAGGTTCCCTTACCTGGACCAGGTTCGGAGATGTGCGTTTTGGACTGGACCCCAAAATTGCTTTGTGGAAGGGCTGACCCAGAGGGAATTGGCTTTTTGCTAGGTGGTAGTGGAGTTGACTCTTTGCTTATAGGCATGTCTTGGTTTTGGAACCCATGGGGAAGCCTCCCTGCTCCACGGAAGCAGGACCAACGTAAGACCCCACTGAGCTGGATGACAGTGAGATGATGGCTCTACCCATACTTCCCTACGTCACTCCCCAGCTGCCTCCTCCTCTTCTGTGTCTTCTGAGCCCTGCTGGTGACTCCAAATGGAGTTGAGCTGGTCCTGCTCAGCCAACCAGCAGATAGATCCACAACTCCTAAAACAAGCACTGGGCAGATTGTAGGCTCACCAGAAATACGTGAATGAATGAAAGAGACAAGGCAAGCAGATACCAGACCCTAAGGACGAATCCACATCCGCCTTTCCTGTGCTGCTTTCCTCAGGTGCTTCTTTGGCGGGTGGAGGGAACCAGGAACAGACAGGCTCCTAGAATGCTGTTCCCCTGAGTCATGGAGATGTAGTTCATCCTCCATCATGCTCTGGCCCCTTTCCAGGGCTTGGCTTCTCCAGAATGAATCAGAGCCTCAACACAAAATCCTGTCTTCAAAAGCATTCCCTGCGCCTACCGTCTACCGTGGAGGCTCTGAAACATCTTTTTGGACCTGTTTCTCCATTCATTCCCAGACTTCTGAAAGCTGGTGCCTGCCCAGCAAATGGAAGGGACCAAGGGAGCTGGAGGCAGTGATGCTGCCTGACGGGTCTAAGACAGGACTTTGTCAAAACTGAGGCTGCAGATGCAGTGGGAAAGGCAGATGGGGGGCCGGTGGGTGTCTTCAGAGGCCAGCCTGGGCACTTGCAGCCCTTTGATCTGTGGGACCAGTTTGGCCTCTGCACTTCACGTGAGGTGAGATTTGTTTCTTAGGTACTCACCAGAGTGAACTTTGACCCCAACTCCTAACCAGTCCAGGCCCAGCCAACTTGAGTGTCCCCCACCCAAGTCTTCTGCCTCCTGCTACCCCCTTACATACCCCAGGCAGCTGAGAAACACCATCCCTGTTAAGGTTTTCTCTCCAAACTGCTCTGTTCCTCACAGACCCCAGGGCTGATGTGGTAGAAGACAGAGCCAGACTGTAGCTATGATGACCACAGGACATATTGGTGTTGTGTGCAGAGCTATACAAGCCCCAGCCAATGGTTACCAATACATGGGAAAAGATACTTCTAGGCTCTTCCAACAGACAATATCTCTGAACTCTAGAGACCAGAACAGAGGGGCACCAAGACAGGGGGCAGTGCAGCAGTTAACCTAAAGAAATAGAAGTCACAACACAGTGCTGCAGAGAAGATTCTAGGCTTCTGCTTGAACTAGACTAGAACAGAAGTGGCCAAGAACAAAGACTCACCCTCTAGTTCCTAATCAGGCCACTCTTAGGCTTTATGGCTTCCCAGCCCCAGAGAGTCTCTAGTCTCTGAAGGGAAGGGAAGCAGAGAGGAGGTACAGCAATGTGACCAGCGATGGGGCGGGGGGGCATTCTGGACATGCTTGCACTGCATCGTGCCATCAGTGGGAGATGGGCAGGAGGAAGGCATTGTGGGAGCCCCAGTGTCACAGGAGGTCTTTACCCAGCCCAGCTAGTGGTGCCAGCCACTGTAAGGACACGTTTTATGGATAGGCATAAAAAAGCAGGGAAAACACCTGGAGACTTGATTCCCTCTCTCCTAGGTCCCTTTGTTGCCATTGGAAGGCAAGGCTATGGCCATCTCCCTGGGTAGTCATGATTCTGCACGGTGGTCCACGTGAGACAGGAATGTTCTCATAAACGGTCACAGCAGAAAAGACCGACACACTTGTGTTCAAAGCTGTATCACCTGTTCTGAAGATGCTCTGCAAAAGAGGGAGCTTTGATTTTATTGATCCTGTGTTTTGCACTGTTTGGAAGAAAGTAGAAGCCTTCTTGGCTTGTTATACCCAGGAGGGTGGCCAGCCTGCTCTGGGTTTCTGAGTCCTTCCGTAGCAGCACGGGAGAGACAGAGCCACACTGCACATCACCAGGGGACAGCTGAGGTGGGTGCTGTTAGAACTCCACGCATCCCCCTTGGCCTTGGAACAAAAAGACAGATAAGAAGGTGAAGTACACGGGGCGCCTGGGTGGCTCAGTGGGTTAAAGCCGCTGCCTTTGGCTCAGGTCATGATCCCAAGGTTCTGGGATCTGGCCCCGCATCGGGCTCTCTGCTCAGCAGGGAGCCTGCTTCCTCCTCTCTCTGTGCCTGCCTCTCTGCCTACTTGTGATCTCTGTCTGTCAAATAAATAAATAAAATATTTAAAAAAAAAAAAAAAAAAGAAGGTGAAGTACAAGGACAGAGGGCGTGGGCCTGGCGCTGTAGAGACTGTCATCCAGCCCCGGGGCTGAGGGAACGCTGCAACTTCTTACCGTGCTTCTGCTGTCTTCTAGGAAAGAGGACAGAACAGCCAGGGAGGGTTGAAGCTGTAGAAGGCTGTTCTTTTCTTAAAAAAAAAAAAAAAAAAAAAAAAAAAGGCATAAGAGTAATATGTGCTTATTAATGGGGGGAAAAAAAAACCCAGAAATGTATACCCTGAAAGATGAATTATCCCTCCACATCCCATTTCCCAAGAGTAACCTTTGTTACCAGTTTTAGTACTCTTCCAGGTTTTGTTACATTTGTATATAAAAAATTCGTACCACACTATTTAGTTTTAAGTTTTCCTTTTGTGTGTTGTTAATTCCCTCCCTCCTGCAGCACAGAGCAGTATTCAGAAGATACACATTAAAAGGAAGGAAAGGGGATGGACACCTCACACCACGTGGTTTTTTCGCTGGACTTATTTCTTACCAGCACACGTAGATCCGCTCCACTCATTCTCATGGCTCCGTGGTATTTCATATATGAGTGTGCCACAATGTACTGACTGGTCTTTATTGTTAAATTCTCCTTTTCACAACTCTAAAAATTAATACAGTGAATATCTTTGTACACATGTCTTTGCAGACTTAGGCCACCGTTTCTGTAGGATATGTAGAGATGGAACTGCTGGGTCACAGTGTACACCTGTTTACATTTTCGATGACTAGTACCAAATCATCTTCTAAAAATCTTGCACCGGTTTCCATGGCGGCTTCTTCTCATGTTACCCTCTTGTCCCTGCAGGATGAATCAGGCGCCAACCGTGGGCTTTGAGCAGGATGTTGGCAGCCGAACCACCCACCATTTCATGTACCCCGAGAGTGCCAAGAACCTGCCCGCCAACGTCAGCTTTGTGTTGGTGCCCTTCAAAGCCCTGGACCTCCTGTGGATTGCCAGCGCTTTGTCCACGGGGCAGATCCGATTGTAAGTCACTCTGCGGACTGGGAGTGGAATAGGGGAGACAGGAGCATTTTGAGAGGACTCTTCCCAGGGATTGGCTCTGAGAATTCTTTTAACTGAATATTTTGACCAACAGGGGCTGGTGAAGAGGGAAGCCATCCTTGTTCAGTGTCACTTCCTGCATAGTCACAGCGGGCATACTCGTAGTAGAAAGGCGAGGAAAGGTTTTGGTCTCCTTTCCAGGAAGTGGCTCCTGACTGTGGGAACTCTGCCATCTGAGAGTTTTCTGTAGAGGCAGTTGCTGGGAACCTCAGGAAATTCAGTTCACCAACTTCCTTTCTTCCTTCCTTCCTTTCTTCCTTTCTCTCTTTTCTAAGATTTGATTTTTTTATTTGTCAGAGAGATAGAGAGAACACAAGCTAGGGGAGTAGCAGGCCGAGGGAGAAGGAGGATCCCTGCCAAGCAGGGAGCCCGATGCAGGACTTGATCCCAGGACCCTGGGATCATGACCTAAGTCAAAGGCAGACACTTAACTGACTGAGGCACCCAGGGCCCCTCCCCACCTTTTTCAAAAATTGAAGTATAATTGACATACATGTTACATTAGTTTCATCACCAAGGTTTTTTTTTTTAAGATTTTATTTATTTATTTGACAGAGAGCACAAGTAGGCAGAGAGGCAGGCAGAGAGAGAGGAGGAGGCAGGCTCCCCACTGAGCAGAGAGCCCGATGTGGGGCTTGATCCCAGGACCCTGAGACCATGACCTGAGCCGAAGGCAGAGGCTTTAACCCACCGAGCCACCCAGGCACCCCACCAAGGACTTTTTTAAACAGCTTTATTGAGATAAAATTCACATGCTATGGGGCGCCTGGGTGGCTCAGTGGGTTAAGCCTCTGCCTTCGGCTCAGGTCATGATCCCAGGGTCGTAGGATCGAGCCCCACATTGGGCTCTCTGCTCAGCGGGAGCCTGCTTCCCCCTCTCTCTCTGCCTGCCTCTCTGCCTACTTGTGATCTCTCTGTCAAATAAATAAATAAAATCTTTTTAAAAATTCACATGCCATACAGTTCACATATTTAAAGTATACAAGTCAGTGGCTTTTATTAAATATAGTGTTGTATAACCATCAGAATTTATTTTAGAACTCTTTCATCTTCTTCTTCTTCTTCTTCTTCTTTTTTTTTAAAAAATATTTTATTTATTTATTTAACAGACAGAGATCACAAGTAGGCAGGGAGGCAGGCAGAGAGAGAGAGGCAGGAAGCCCGACGTGGGACTCGATCCCGGGACCCTGGGATCATGACCTGAGCTGAAGGCAGAGGCTTAACCCACTAAGCCACCCAGTTGCCCCCTCTTTCATCTTCTTAAAAAAGAAGATTAAAGATCTAAAGATACCTCTGTATCCCTTAGCTATCACCCTTACTCTCTCCATCCCTACCCTCAAGGCATAGGCAGTAGCCAATAACCTACTATTACTATGTTGTGTGTGTGTGTATGTGTGTGTGTGAAGATGTATATAACATGGGGCACTTCGCTGCCTCAGTCGGTGGAGCATGTGACTCTTGATCTTGGGGTCATGAGTTCAAGTCCCATGTTGGGTGTAGCGATTACTTAAAAAGCAAAAATAAGTAAAAATTAGCTTTCTCAGGTCACTGCCCACATCCTCCACCAAAAATATAAATAAGCCAAAAAACTGTATATAACATAAAATGTATTTTAACCACACAGTCCAGTAGCATTAAGTACATTTTCTTTGTTGTGCAAACACCACCTTATCCGTCTTCAGAACTTCTTCACAATTTCAAATGGAAATTGTACCTGTTAAATCATAATTCCCCATTTCCTCCACTCTCTAAGCCCCTGATAACTACTAGTCTTTCTGTGTCTATGATTTGACTGTTTTAAGTACTTCATGTAAGTGGAATCATTGTGTTTCTCCTTTTGTGTCTGGTTTATTTCACTTAGCATAATGTTTTCAGGGTTTATCCATGTTGTAGCATGTAGAGGATTTCATTCCTTTTAAAAGCTGGATATATTCCATTATGTGGATATAGCATATTTTATTTATCCATTCACCCATCAGTGGACAATTAGGCTGTTTCTACCTTTTGCCTGCTATCACATTTTTTAAATCTTTTTTTTAAAAAGATTTATTTATTAGAGAGAGCACAAGTGGGAGGAGCAGAGGGAGAGGGAGAGAGAAACTCAAGCAGGGTCTGAGCTGAATGAGAGCCTGACACAGGTGTTGATCTCACAACCCTGAGATCACAAGCTGTTCTGAAACCGAGAGCCAGACACTTAATTAACTGTGCCATCCAGGTGGCCCTGCCACCACATTTAAAAAAAAAAGATTTTATTTATTTGAGGGGCACCTGCGTGGCTCAGTGGGTTAAAGCCTCTGCCTTCGGCTCAGGTCATGATCTCAGGGTCCTGGGATCAAGCCCCGCATCAGGCTCCCTGTTCAGCAGGGAGCCTGCTTCCTGTCCCCGCACCCTGCCTGCCTCTCTGTCTACTGTGATCTCTGCCAAATAAATAAATAAAATCTTAAAAAAATATTTATTTATTTATTTGAGACAAAGGGAGGATGAGCGGGGAGGTGGGGGGTGGGGAGGGACAAGCAGACTCCCTGCTGAGCACAGAGCCTGACCCGAGGCTGGATCATTGGACCCTGAGATCATGACCGGAGCCAAGGTCAGGCACTCAACCAACTGAGCCACCCAGGCACCCCACCACATATTTTTTAAACACACAAATATAAGTTACCATTTCTTAGACATTATCTTATGTTTGGGAGACATAAGGGCTAAAATAAGTGCCATTGAATTTAAGTCCCATAATAGTTAGAAAAGGAGTATAGATTATAGGTGCCATGGCTGACTAATTGGAAAGGAGGGATTTGTGCCAAATGTGAGGATAGTAGCGAGAGGGTCATCATGGTCACAGGTGAAAGGGACGCAATGGGCATGAAATGATTGGCTAAATCAAGTGGGGGAGTTCACAACTGAGTGTTGTGGAAGGAAAAGTTGCGGCTGGATAATGGAAGACCCCAGTGTTTGTCTAAAACATCCTCATTTTCTCCTGAAGGACATGAGTAGCTTCTGAAGGTTTCTGAGCAAGGTACTGCAGAGATGTGCTATGGGAAGCAGTCTGGAGGCAGGGATCTTTTGTAAGGTTGTCCTCATTCAAGCCTGGGAGGATAGAAAGGCATCTCTGAGCCTTTCTAGATCCCAGGGGCCATCTAATTGTTATCTTTCTCTCTGCTTGAAGCACCTATGCGCCAGTGAAGTCCTTCCTTCGAGTGGACAAAGAAAAGGTAAGCTCCCTCCTCCTCCCCCTTCTTCATGCCCATCTCATTGGAAACAGTGCAGACTTGACTTATGGTGTGCCCGGTCTGGTGGCTCAGGTATATCCCCAGTGCCCTTCCAGAACCTTCAGAGTAGCCCCCCCCACAACCTGCTGGTATGCCTGACCCCCTCAGAGGCCATAGGGACCAGGGAACATGGACAAACAGGAGGAACTGGTAGAAGCTGCTCAGAGCCTGACCGGAGTCTTCAGGCCCCCAAAGCCTCTCATGCATCTGTTCCCTCTCTCCTCCCAGGTTCAGATCTATAACCCAGCCTTCTTCAAGTACATCCATGACCGGTGGACAGAGCATCACGGGCGGTACCCTTCCACAGGGATGCTGGTGCTCTTCTTTGCCCTGCATGTGTGTGATGAGGTGGGTAGCCCAGTGTTAGGGGTAAAATAGGGATACCCGTGGAGCAGAGGGAGTCAGTCCTTCTTACTAAGGGAAATGCGTTTTTGTAGGCAGAAACCAAGTGGCTCTGATTTTCCCCGTTTCTAGGCTGTAAAGTATACATCTTCATTTCCCAGAGTCACTATGTCCATGATTTTACCAAACCTGAAATCATTTCAGTGGAAAGTTAAATTTATTTAAAAAGGAAGTAGACTCCTACCACCATAATTGGTTATTACTTGCCATAAAGAAAACAAATAATCAGAAATAGAAATAGAAAGGAAACAATGTAGTTAAGTTCCAGCGGATGGTCTGCCATAGCTGTGGGTGCCAGGCCTGCCCTGTGTTAACCCTGGAGGCCAGTCGTTCAAGGGGCCGCTTCTCACTAGCAACCGGGCTGCTGTGCCATGCTCCGCGGTGCTCAGGCCCAGCACACCCCCTTCTGCCAGTAAATGAATGTGTGGTACTGGAACACTGA